GCCGCCGCTCTGCTGAGGCCTGCTTGCGCGAGCAAAAGGCGGTCGCCGAGAGCGGGGGGGGGTCACGTCACTGCATCCTCTGCCGGTTCCTCCCGTCGCCTCTTTGTTCGAATGCTTGTCAGTTCCTCCTTCACGAAGAAGTCCTCCCATGTACGGCTTTGGGAGCCAGCGTCCTCTGCCCCTGCTGTGTTGCATACCTTTGCTTCATCGAACGGCGAACGCCAACCACGGGGGGCGTGCCGAGATGGTCTGATTGATAGCGGGAGGACGAGCTTGAATGTGCGTGTAGGATGCTTGAAAAATTGTTTCATAAAAATAAGTCAACGCGCAGTCAACGTGCCAACTCGTGTGCTTCAGTCTGCCTTGACATCTGACCCATCCGGCCCTCCAAACCTCGGCAGCTTGCGTGCGTATGAGCTTGGCCCTCCCGTCGAAAGCAGCCGGAGCAGCGCCACCTCTGCCCACGTGACCTTTCGTGTCCTCCCGATTGAGCCCGCCGACATAGCGTTTGTGCCTTTGCCGAGCGCATAAACCTCGGCGCGGGCGTGTTTATCCGAGACCTTTGTAAACTCTCGCATGCGAAAGCCGTCACCCATGATGCGCGGATCTCCGAGCTGCTGGTCATCGTTCCGTCGCATCCCGAAGAGGCGCATCAGCTTGAGGATGCGCGCGGCGCCTGACAGAGATGTGATGAAGAGCTCGGAGTAGCGGCTCAGCTTGAGCAGGTCTGGTTGCGGCTGCTGCTCAAAGGACGCACATGCATCGCCGACAAACCTCCGGAAGCCGCCGCGCAGGACCAAGTCGTCCTCCATGCTCAGTTGGTACGGAATCTTGTTTTGCACCTGATAGCTCAAGACGCGGTACTTGGTCAAGAACGTTGCCACCTTGCCCCACCTTCTTCCGGGGCCGTTGCTCATTCTGTGGAATGGAATACCATAGTCAAGCAGCGCCTCGATAGTCTCGGTGTGGTTGTAGCCATCGACTGCCCTCACGACTCTTGTTGGTACAACCTTGCTGTAGTTCTGCCAGAAATTCTGCTTCCCGGCATGGGCTAGCGCACCCACCACGAAACTCACCGTGCGGTTGCACGTTCCGACTGGAGGAGGCGGGTTCGCGAGAGGCAGCAGCTCTGCTGCAATCGGCGGCCCATCCTGCCACGCCGTCGTCTTAGCTTCGGCACGCGCGTGCCGCCTTGTTGCATTCCTCGCCAACTCGCGCATTCCTCAGCTCTCGCCCTCGGTGCTCGGAGCAAGTTTCGCCTTGATCTCACACGGGTAAAAATACCAAAATCCCGATGTCGCGTAGTATGGTAAGGCGTGCGTCCTCCCTTGGGTTGATTTTATCGACGAAGCTTGAATGCTCGCCTTGCTCGCCCTCGCTCTGAGGGATGGGAGGACGGCACACCGCCACCACACAGGGATTCGTCTTGTCCTTGCGCCTGCGGAAACGTTCAGCAGACAGCACTCCCTAGAGCCTGCCCCCTCCACAACACCCTCTACATACTACACTGTTCTTCTCTTGTTCATTTGCTCCGGTTTGCTCTCTGATGCCCAATGCGTGTACTCGTCCCTCTCTGTATGTGTGGGTTCGTGTGTGCGGGGGCCCTCCTTGTCTCTGCCTAGACAGTGTGAGGTAAGTAACACCTACCTACCAGCTACCTACCTACCGTCGATCGACGCGGGCCTCGCCACTCGATCGTCCACCTTCCCCTCGCCGCTCGCCGCCGCCGCTCTCGGTGGCGGCAGCGGCCGGAGGCAGAGCGCGTGCAGAGACCGTTATTATGGCGCGAGTCAGGGAGGATCAGCGATAGGGCGAGGGACGGGAAGAAGGGAAACCTGTGTTTAAGGGGATGAAATTCTTTTTCGCACAAATAAATAAATAAATAGAGCAGTCATCTCCAGGGAGAGATGGGCGACGCACACGAATACAGAGGGTCAGTGCGCACCCCGCCCCGCTCGCAGGGCGTGTTTTTCGCACAGGAAGGAAGAAGGAAGAAAACACACGTTTTCGCACAACACTGGGCGCGGTGGCAAGATTCTTTTTCGCTGTGCGCTCGACGCATGCACACACAATATGCAGCCTCCACCACCACCGTGGCACAGCCTCCAGGAGCTCATCTTCGACCCGTCCGCCTTCAAGGCAACGACGGTGCGCGTCTCTGGCACGGTCGTCATGCTCGACGGAACTCTTGGCCGCCTCGACCTCGCTGACCGTGGTGCAAAGCTTATTGTTCGTGTCGACCCGGCACGCCTGGCCGGCTCCTCCCTGGATTTGCATGGGCGGGCGGAGGTCGTGGGGATCGTGAAGAAGGAGCAGCGACGCACCTTCCTCGACGCCTCGGAGGTTCGCCCTCTGGCCGCAGCGGCGGACGAGGCTTCCGGGTCTGACTCGTCCGAGGAGGAGGCAGACGAGGTGACTCGCGAGGTGTGGCGCCGGGTTGAGGTCGT